GGGAAAAAAAAAAAAAAAAAAAAAGGAAGGACGCACTTGAATAGATTGACGAGCACATCAAATCGTGTGGTAGTGAGGATTTCAAATCCAAATCCCTCCTCGTCCTCGTCCTTAGTCACTGTCACATCGTTTTAAGTCGAAATTAAATGTAGTCTCGAAATCAATTAAAATTGACAATAATTCTAAATCACGATGGGGAAGCTTCCAAACTTAAATTAAAAAAAACCCCTCTACTTTTTTCATCGGCTCTAACGACCACTAGGTCGGACCAACTTACAAGTACCTCAAACAAACGGACGAAAACAACTATTTAACCCAACTTAATTTAGTTGCTAAGAAAGGAATACGAAATTTTAAATAGACGATAGTCATAGAATATTTAGATTAACTACAATAACTCGAGTCATTGGCCGAGTTATTAGCCAGTTTAAAATGGAGTTGCCCGATAGAAAATATACATATATATATATATAAATAATTACCCAGGGTGCAGAGGGAAGAGATAATATTTTTTTACCATAAAAGAAGTAAAAAAATGCTACTTCAAGCACAACTCTTAAGTTCTCAACTACGAATTCACTTCATAATCCCACTGCATTCTAGGAGAACGAACATGCAAATGTAGTCTGCTTTAAAATCTTGATCCAAACAATTTCTCCAATTCATCACAGCTTTGAGTTCTAACTTAAAAACCGAACGAGTCCGATAAAGATAATATGAAAGCCAAATAGAATAGGGTAGTAGAGTAAACTTATCAATCAAGATGATTATTCCACAGAGCTGAAACGAATGTTGGCATTAGTTGATGCAGCCGTTTCATTAATCAAAACTCATTGGGAGGCTTTAACCTTATCAGCCTCTTGATCCTGTCTTTCTCCGTGTTCTCCAAGATGCCCTTCACAAACATCAAAACAGATCAGTAAGATCTAAAATAGCACAGGCGCAGTCGATATGTAATATTTTTTATATTCTTCGCGATTATGAGATGCCCATAAATTTCTGTTCAGAGAGACATTTTGCAAAGCATTTTCTGTTTTTTTAGAATAGGAAGACCGTGTGTAAAAATCTTTCCTCCTTGAAAATTGCAAATTTCTTGAATTAAAGGTCCAAATGCTTAAAATGTTTATCACTGTATCTGGCTCGATTATGAGCCTTGAGCCTCACAAAACCTACGAGAAAGATTCTGAGTGAGGGAAACAGAAAGGGCATACCGTCCAGACAATTTCATCAAGACACAAACAAATCTTTCCATATTTATCAAGAAACGAGCGCTCAGTTGGAGCTTTGCCACAGGCATCCTTTATCGATGACGTTACTACAAAGATCACTTCTGCCACTTGAAGAAGTGAAAATGAAATTAATACAGAGGAAACATAACACAAGGATCAGGTAAAACAAAAGATTTTTTTAAAAGAAAAAACCCCGCTTGGGAGGTTGGGAATGAGTCCAAAGAAAATGGAAGAATTGTCATTTTCTTACAAGCTAATTCATCATATTCGTCCTTCCCAACAACATAAACTGCAACATCACCAAGCACGGTGTAAACAATATATACAGACCTGTTACAAAAAGATAAACTTTGATAAATTGAACAGGTAAAACCAGCTACAGTAAAACAATCCATTGAGTAGTGCCACAAAATAGACGGGGACTGATTGATCTAATGTACGAGTAATGCTTTCATCATTATAAAGGGGGAAGATTTACTTTTATTCAAGCCACTGGCTAACCTTGTTATTTAAGATTCCCTTATAAGCAGGGCAGTCTATTGATGATTAAGGGGGGAAAATGGAATTATCGAAGTGAATGTCCAAATATTTATAGGGATGTATTTTATTTAGCAGTAAAAACATTTATCATTATTAGGTGACCATTTGAGCTAAGAACGCAACCCTTGTTACTTTAGTACTAGTGATTGCAGAAGAAGCTATTTCACTGTTATTCTTTCATACTTCTCGACGAAAGCATGGTTTCACATTAAAAAAAAAAAAATTAGAACAAAAAAAAACTAGCTCGTTGTGGCATAATTTCATCCAAAGTACTCATGGAAAGATGCCTTTGGCAACTTCCAAACACTCTAACGGTAGTTCAAGAAGCCCTTAGAGGTTTGTAGATGTAGCTCGCTACTTTGTTTTTTTGGACAAGAAACAAAGGTGTAGCTTACTACCTCCCTCTTAGGTGGAAGAAGGATGAAAAGTAGATCTTGGAAGGACAATTAAATAAATGAATACTCAGACCATAACAAATTAACTGGAAGTAAAATGTTGGATCTTTTTTAAGTTCAAAATATCCCAGGCAGGGGTGAAACTTTATTATTGACATTAAAGTGATAGAAAAGTGGTAGAACAGATTTCTCTTCAATCAATGTTCAAAGGTTTTAATCCATCTTCAAGACCTTACTTTGTAGGTTGGAGGCAATTCCAAGGTTTGATAACCAAGAGGCTTTTAAAATAGATGGAACTTAACAAAGAGTCTGTTATTTGTGAAGCCAATGATTGGCAGAGTGGACACCATTGACATTATACATTAAGCGAGGAAGTTGCCAGATTCTGTCCCAATTGATTTATGTTACGCAGGAATAATAATTGATTCAAGGGTACCGAATCATGTTCAACGACTTCTTCAAAGAATGGGCAAATCCTTACTACATTTGGTTTATATAGACGCTGTCACTTGAATACCAAAGACTTCATCATTCAAATCAGCTTGTCCCTAGTTTCTTTCATTCTCTCAACTGTTTAAAATATAAGGAAATTTTAGTTTCAGGAAACCCTTTCAACAACTCAAAATCAATGCAATTTTTGGTTAGTTTACTTTAAAACATTAAATATACTTCCTTTATTCCTGATTTAAGGATCAAGGATTCATATGTTGCAGTAATCCAATAATGGAGTATTAAACATGCAAAAACTAACGTCAAGGCGGCACCTTATATATTATTGTGTATTGGCTTCATAAGAATCACAACAGTAATACACTATAACAATAATCGCGCAAAGAAACTTCGTCCATTTCCCTTGCGCGTATGAAAATGTTACGGTCGGGTCCTTATATTTTATGAGATCAAAATACTGAGGGATGAAGCTAAGTTTCAAGTATAATGCATCACTGCGAGGTATTCAGAATTGCTTCTAAAGAAATGATTGGAAGATTTCACTCACTTGTGTGAAGCAACAAAGAGCTCTTCATTTTTTGCACCTTTGAGATTATCTGCTCCTAGCTTCACTAGAAAGGATCGCCAATGCAATCGCTCCTCTGCCGGAACTCCATGGAACCTAATAAACAAATAAAAATCACGATCGACCGTTCAATCGCATGAAATTAGAGTATGCCAGACACTGCAATCCGCGTTATGCAGCATTGTTTCACTCCTAAAAACTAAATTATTCTCAAGCCAATTCCAACTCTAATTGGAGTAAATCTGAAGCTAACCGCACATTTCATACAATAATAAAAGCAGTCGACAAACAAAACTACAAAAAAAAAGGTTCAATCGATCAAGCCACACGGCGTAAGGGAAAAGAAAATAGTACCGTTCAACGAGAATGTTGCCGACAGAGTTGGCGATCAGCACAGCCAGCAACATGCCTAATCTTTCGCCGCCTGCTTCAACTCTTCGATCGGAATTTCTGAAGGAAAAAATCTCTCTACTCGACGCCTGGGAACAAATCTTACAATCCCAGATTTTCGCTCGCGCCTTTTTCCCCCTTTTTCCCTCAAGTCCGCAATTAGGGCTCGTATGGAAACAGATATAGTGGAATCCGATCCGAGAATTATAATAGCGTATCCACGTCGAGGTCAGTATAATCCGGACTATGACTTTGACTGTTCTTTTTCTTTTTCTTTTCTTTTTTTCTTAAATATTATTGAAATTAAACAATTTCAAAAAAAAAAAAAAATGTTATAATAATATTATATATTTTATATAAATTAATTTTTCATGTCAACTAAAGATAATCTAGTCGGGACAATATTATATTTCTCATTTTTATTTCTCATCTAATATAAATATATTTTTTTTTTGTTAGATAAATATATACACGTACGTTATATTAAAAAAATATTTAATTAAAGACGTGTAATATTCAAATTTCTATTAGAAATATAGATATTTATTAGGATTTGTTTATATCTTTTAATAAAAATTATATTAAAAATGAATATTTTAAAATAATTATATTTTTAAAAAAGAATAATAAACTAAAAAAATCACCCCACAAATTTCCTCAACATTTGTAAGACCAAAGGAACGTCTTCAGCCATCCATTCCCCTTTAAATCTTGTGGTTCCAATTCAATTTTGATTATATATATATATATATATATATATATATATATTCAAGGTCTAATATAATTATTTTGTTTATAATTCTCTAGTACAATTTAAAAATAAATTAATATTTTAATCATATATTCTTTATGGTCAAAATTGCACATCAAATGTTTGTAATATTAATTTTAAATAATAATAAAATTACAATTTTAACCTTCCAATAAATTCTCTCTTCAAATATGGTTTTAAAAAAATTAAAAACTTTAAGGTATAAATTCATATAAATTTGGAGATAAGAATTGAGCTTTTTTCGTATATTAACATGATCCTATTATAAATGGGTTGAAGCTATTTTATTGGACCAATTAGCTACGCCAATAATTAATTGCATGTCATGTGGGAGCATAAATTGCGACAAACAAATCATTGATCATTTTCCAACTAAATTCCTAAGGTTTCCATCTACCATAAAATATTATAATAAAATTGAAAATGTTAATACTTATGACACCCGAATAAAATGAGGGATATATGAATGAATCAGGATTATACTCGAACAAGAGTGATCCCGGAGAATAGGATGATCGAACTTGTTTTTCGGTGGCTCAATTATATAATTTTTTTAGTCAAACGTGGTTTGCTTAAAGCAATTCTATGTTGGAATGACTCGTGTTAGTCCGCGGAGATAGACTCCACTCTTGAAAAGCAAGGAGTAGGTAACGAAATCATGTCTAGGAGGTGCAGGAGAATGTCAGGGCTATCAAGTGTCGAATCCATATTCTTGATCCTTTTTTCAACTTGATTATCAAGATTAGCTCGATATCATAATGATAGTCTCGTTTAGGAAGTTTGAGTCAACTAAGACTCTTCGCATTGGATCAACGTCTATAATTAATAACACAATAGGGTCGTTCTCTTAGTATCCATTTTTGAAACAAGCAACGATAAAATCAATCATACTTTAAATAATATGATTATGAATGGTCAACAAATTAAGTAGCATTTTTATTAAGTCTTCCCCAAATGTATTGTTTAGTCATATCATATGTACATTTTAATACATTTTTTGTTTCAAAACTTTGACTTGTACATATATTTTGGTCCCTTGGCCAAATTCTCTCACCTACAGCTTTAAATTATTTATCTAATCAAAATATAAGGATGGAATAATTACAAATAAAAAATATATATATTAGGACCAAAATATTATTAAAAAAAAAAAAAAAAACAAAAATATGTTGATCAAGTAAATATTATCAACAATATTTAAAAATTTATTCACAACAAACCTAATTTATTTGATTAAATAAAGGTAAAAAATGGATAAGGAAAATAGTTATAATACATCTAAAATTAACCCAAAAAACTTCAAAATTTATATGAGCTATAATTTAATAGATAAGACATAAATTATCATTTATATGCGAACTTTATTCATTTCTATATATATATATATATGATTAAAATCGACAAAAAAAAAAACAGACAATATTTATAAAAGCTCTCCCTTTATACAGATTTTGAGCTTCCCAAAGTCCCATAAACAGTAAGCACAACAGATATATATATATATATATATACACATAATTAGCCTATTTGTTTTGATCTTATGGGGTTTTATTACTATTGTTACTTTATTTTTAGAGTTGAGATCTTGTACTTAGCTTGAAATTGAAGGAAGAGGGCAGTTCCAATTGAGTAACTCTTCAATCATTTGCATTGCAATTCTGTCTTCTTCATCGATTCCGTTCCGATGGCCATCGGCTTCCTGGCTCGTCGATTCGGGCGATGGCAATGGGGACGGGATCTCCTTCTTCCCTAGCTCAATCCTCATGACCCAATTGGAAGTGGCTCGTGTGCCTGCGCGCTTCTGCCAGACACCGATGTGGGCGTTGTCACTGTCGAGCCGCAGGCATGTCAAGGAAGGAGATGGGTTCTTGCAGCACTTTCTGAGCTTTGTGCTGAGTAGCTCTGAGAGTGCTTTTGGGGTCATTGGAGAAGATCCGTGCCCATGGCCATGGCTGGCTTCTGCAGATTGGTCTTTTGATGCAGGGAAATTGGTCTTGGCGTTTTGGCCATTCATTAAGATGGCTGCTTGATCATACGCTCGTGCTGCATCCTCTGCTGTGTCGAATGTCCCCAGCCACACCCTTCTCTTCCTACAAAGAAATTAACACATGAAACGTATAAGAATGTGGGCTCAAGGTGTAATGTATAGCAGAAATGAGCGTGGTCAATGGCCATAGCCGGCTAGCTTCTTTGTTTACGGCACAACAATGGTGGGTTTCCATTTTTCAGAGCTTTTTTTCTGAACCAACACACACAATCAATGCATACATTTACAGCAGAGGAAATTGTAGTTCACAAATCTACAGAAATATGCATGCCATGGCCACCCAGATTCTTTCAGGCATATCAACAAACACCTTATGGGCACCAAAAAAAAGGGGGTTTTCACAGCATTTTTAACCAATAAACACAATAAATTGATCACAAACATAACGACAATAATGCAGTATACGAGTTTTCAAAAACATATGCCACCAAAGGAGACCAGTTTCTTTCAGGCAAATCATCAAACAGGTTATGGGCAACAGACAGAAAATGGAGGAAACAGAGGACAATCGAACCAATAAACCCAACCAATGGCGCATATATTTATAGCAAAAGAACAACCAACGTAATGTAAGAGTGAATTTACAGCAACGGGTGGCGGATTTCTGACACCCAAGAGCCCCACTGCCGCTGCCTGACTCCTCTGAACTTCCTTGAATAAACCATAACTCTAGAGAGAGAAACACAGAGAATTTCAGAGCCTTCAACAAGAGAGAGATAGAGAAATTAAAAAAAAAAAAAAAACAAAAAAAAACAGGTGAGAGAGTTGAAAAACGTACAGAGAGTAATAATTTCAGCCATTTATATAGAATTGTCGGTGGAAATTGAAAATTATTTGATAGAGAAGAAGAAGAACAACAACAACAACACAATAGTACTTTTTAAATGGGGTTGGCCATTAAAAACTTTCACCTGCTCACCATGAAAGATCCACAGTCGCAGCTTCTTAACAACCAAAATTTAATGAGATTCCGCTCATTTCAAATCTCTCTCCCATTTCTGCAACTTTTCTTCTCTCTCTCCAATGGCAGATCGAAAAGGAACCCCCAAAACTTCTAATCTGTCTGCTATCCAAAAAGAAGGTTTCATTAAATTTTACTTCTGAGCTTTGTGGGAATGGGGAAAGGGAAGAGGAAAATTTGCAGGTTTAGATCATAAAGCGCCATTTATGATCCCAGTGAGGAAGATGGAGTGTTTGAATTGAATAAGAGCCTGTTTCGCTATTAATTAATTATCAAACAAAAAAATAATTAAGCATTTTCTTCTCATTTTATTTATTTATTTTTTTTATTTCAAGTATTTTCTATTTTTGTATAAAAATTACTTAAATTTGGGGAAAAAATCAACACTTTTCTAAAAATTATTGATTTTTCTCATTTTAATTATTTTTCTAAAATCAATAACATTTTCCTCTTATTTTAATTAATTAAGTCCCTAATATTCAATAAATCTTTATAAGTTTAATTTTATATCTAATAAATTTTATAATATTTAAATCTCAATAATTTATTAATTTTAGAAATATCACCAATTTAATTAAAATACGAAAATGAAAAATTGAATCTTGAATCTCTTTTTAACTTATCTAGTAACCAACATCATTTATTTATTTATTTTTAATAATACTTATTATATCTACAGATAAATTTTCTTTATATTATTTATTCCATTTTTGCCCTTTCTTAGTATTTAAATTTTATCTTGGCCTTCTAATTTTGTTTTTTTTTTGTACAATTTATTTCGATATTTATTATTTGGGGTTGAATTAATCAACCTCGAGAGCAATGTAGGATTTCGGTTAGTCAATGACCTTCCATTGACTATCGGAGTTTGATTTTTTTAAGGTTGAAGTGTAATTTTTGTATCTTGTTGCATCGAGTGGATAAGACACTTATTATCGTTTACTCCAAAAAAAATGATGACCCTCGTTGATAGATTGAGGGTTAAAATAGTTGTTAGCATTACTAAATGCTCTGCCACGAGCAAGCATTTTTCAACACGAGAAACTCGAAAAATAGCTAAATCAGAGCTTTACAACGTTGATAAAAAGAGGTATAAATAATAAAAAAAAAATTATTTTTCACTTATATTTGCAATGATATATTAAAAAACTATATATATATATATATATATATATATATCTGTGGTTTGACAATTGACATGCACATCCCCCAGTTTGGGCTGGCCACCATAGCCCAAAAGAAAAACTCCAATGGGCCCATTCTATAATATTTTCCCTTTTTGCCCCTAAAAAATCGTATTAATTGTTTTTATTTTAAATTTTTATTTATTTTTATTTCCATTAATTATTAATTTACAATAAAAACATAAAAAGTTCTAAATTTCTAAATCTAACGTGACATATTTATTTTTTTTATTTACTTGTAGTTACGACCAAAACTTATAAATTATTTTATATTCGTAATGAAAAAAAAATAAAATTAGAAAAAATTTATAAATTATTTTTTTTCTTAATTTATATTTCAATCGACTCTTAATAAATATTTTCCACTTTAATTTGTGTAAATCATAAAATTAAAAAATAAACATTAAATATTAGAAAGAAAAAAAAATAATGATTATGGATAACATAATTTTGACTGTCAACTTGATGATCTGTTCATAATTGTGTGCAATGTACCTTCGCCAACTTGTAAAGCACACAGCTTTAGACGGTAACTCATAAATATTAATTTAATTTTAATATTTACTTTATTATTTCTTTTTAAAACAGTCGTTCTTCGATGAAAACATCAAAACGACACCGTTACTTCTCGGGTTGTTATTGTAACTCATAATTAATTAATTTAAATATTAGAATTAGGATTGAAATAGTTTTAAAAGTACATAAATCCTAATAAATAGTTTAAATAAATATTGGAAGTGTATTAATTAGAATAATATTTCGAGCTAATAGAGATAAATTTATAAATTAAATATATTTAAAAATTTGAAAATAAAAGAAAATATATTTAAAAAAAAAAAAAAAGGAAAAGAAAAACAGAGGCTGGTTTGGGGTTTGTGGTATTCTTTTTTAATTTTAATTATTTTTTATAATTTGGTGGGAGAATATTACGAGGAAAAGCCCACATTGTGAACAAATACATTGCATTTGGGTTTTTATTGGGTGTGTGCGCATGTACCGAAACTCTCTTCAACTTACGATAAAACCTTCTTTCAGGCCGCTCCAGACCTCCTATTTTTCCTCACACTTTCCTCTTTCTTCTTTGATTTTTTTTTTTCCCTATCTGGTAGGGTTCCAACGATCTCCTTCGCCTACGATTTATCTCATGAATTCACATTCTCAGGCTGAATTCGTCTTGCTGTTGTGCTTGATCTTCGTTTTCTCTCTTCTTTTTGCTCTCTTTCGAGGGTTTTTGAGTGCGAATCCGTTTAGATTCCACCCCCTGTGGGTTTTTGAGCCAAACTCATGTCGAAGCTCTTCGCCTATTCCGGTAAGTGGATGATTTTGTATGCTTTGCCTGCTGTGTCATTGAGCTTGTGAATTGGAGTTTCTGTAGATTGTGAGAGGCAGATAGGATAGCTCGTTGAAAGTTTTTGTTTTAAGTGTTTTGTTCTGTGTGGATGTGGAGTGTTATTTGGATGAAATTATGGATTGTAGGGGAAATATTTGAATTATTGGTTTAGTTATGCGGTTTCTCGATTTCGCCAAGTGGCGGGTAATGTTTTGGTATGAATTACGAGGGAGCATGGATGTGGTTTTGTGGTCTTAGGATTGTGGTTTGGGGTTGATCGACCGTTTTATTGTCTCGAACAGGCCAGATGTTATTTTTGGAATCCATCGGTTTGTATCTTTTTCTCGAAAAGAGACATCATACTTTAAGGCGTTTACCTGTTAAATGATAGTTATATTGTTGATCTATGATCCCCATACAGGCCAGGTTTAATTTGATTTACTTTTAAGATTTGAATATTAGAACAAGAGAGCACATCAATAATAAATATTAAACGATCAGACATTAGTTTTGCAAAGATCACTTCCTGCTTTTCTCTTACGATAAATTGTCAATCATTTCATCTATTATGGTCTACGGATTTTAATTGTGAAGTTGATGGTGTTTCTAACTTCCTGTTGTTGAAATTTCAGGCCGTGAAGATTTTTTCCCTGGAGGGTCAATATACCCAAATCCCAAGAACTCAAGTCTATTCTTGTCCCTTCCTCACCACGTTGATGTCTATTTTCCCCCTCGCAAGAGGTCTCGCATGTCTTCTTCCTTTGAGTCTGGTGGAGAAGGGGTTGTATCAAAGGAAAATGTCTCTATTGAAATTCTTCCAGATGAGTGCCTCTTTGAGATTTTCAGACGATTGTCTGGTGATAAAGAACGGAGGGCCTGTGCAGGCGTTTCTAAACGATGGCTTATGCTTATGAGCAACATATCTTGCCACGATTTGATTTCTGAGGATGAGATGGCCACCAAGGAGATTGAAGACATTGAGATTGAGAGTGATGGATATCTGTCAAGGAGCTTGGAAGGGAATAAGGCAACAGATCTCACACTTGCTGCCATTTCTGTTGGAACTGCAAGTCGAGGGGGGTTAGGCAAGCTTGTGATCCGTGGAAATTATCTTGTCAGCAGGGTGACCGACCTTGGACTCGGGGCAATTTCTCATCGGTGTCAATCTCTGAGGGTTCTTTCTTTGTGGAATCTGTCTTCCATTGGAGATGAAGGTCTCTGTGAGATTGCCAAGGTTTCTCACCAGTTGGAGAAACTTGATCTCTGTCAGTGCCCTGCTATTTCTGACATGGCTGTGGTTAAGATAGCTATGAGCTGCCCTAAGTTGACTGATATTTCAATAGAATCTTGTGCCAAAATTGGAAATGCAAGTCTGCGAGCTATTGGGCAGTTCTGCCCCAAGCTCAAGTCCATTATGATTAAAGATTGCCCACTTGTTGGAGATGAAGGAATTGTAAGTTTGTTGTCTCTGAACACATGTGTCATGAACAAGGTGAAGCTTCAAGCTTTGAACGTCTCTGATGTGTCTCTTGCTGTTATTGGGCACTATGGCAAGGCAGTTACCGACGCTGTCCTTACCGATCTTAAAAATGTTAGCGAGAAAGGGTTCTGGGTCATGGGCAATGGTCAGGGACTACAAAACTTGAAGTCACTCACAATTTCCTCCTGCAATGGAGTGACGGACATGGGGATCGAATCTATTGGAAAAGGTTGTCCAAATTTAAAGCACTTGTCTCTAAGAAAGTGCTCTTTCTTATCTGATAAAGGCATGGTCTCTTTTGCAAAAGCTGTAAGGTTGCTTGAGTGCTTGCAATTAGAGGAGTGTCATAGGATTTCTCAACTTGGGTTCTTTGGTATCCTTTTGAACTGCCGTAAAAGTTTGAAAGCTCTTTCTCTCATAAACTGCTTGGGAATTAAGGAAATGAACTCAGAATTGCCTATCTCGGCCTCTAGTGGTTCCTTGCGGTCGTTGACCGTCCGCAACTGCTGTGGTTTTGGCAACAGAAACCTTGCTTTACTCGGCAAGCTGTGTCCCCAGCTGCAGAATGTGGATTTTGGTGGCCTTGTTGGAATTGACGAATGTGGGTTTCTAGCTTGGCTTCAAAACTGTCAGTCGAGTTTAGTGAAGATGGACGTTAGTGGTTGTGTCAACCTGACTGACAAGTTGGTTTCATCCATAATCGAGCGCTATGGTTGGACGCTCGAAATGCTTAATCTCGATGGCTGTAGTAAGATCACCGATGCTTGCTTGACTTCCATTGCAAACAACTGCCCATTACTCAGTGATCTCGATGTCTCGAAGTGTTCGATCACCGATTCAGGGATTGCATCTCTAGCCCGTGCCAAGCAACTGAGTCTACAAGTCTTTTCGGTTGCAGGTTGTTCATCTGTATCGGATAAATGCCTGGCTGACTTGATCAAATTGGGCGAGACTCTTGTGGGTCTGAACATCCAGCACTGTAATGCTATCAGCGGCAGCACTGTTGATCTGCTTGTGGAGAAGCTCTGGAGGTGTGACATTCTTTCATAAATTGATGACATACCGACCCGAGTCGACTGCAAACGGGCACCTGGGTTTGCCCTGCCTCGACGATACCACGTCATAGGTCCATGCTTTTTCCCAGTTTACTTCTTTGGTTCTTTTAGGAGGAGTCAAGTTTCTGAAAGGGTACGCTTATATTTAATGTCATTATAGTGGTTGCTTTAGGCAGTTCAAAAACCACGGTGCCTAGTGTTCCATGGGCTTTGGCCATCACAGCCCTTTTGGGTTGTTTTTTTAATACTTATTGCCAAGCCTTAGTGTTTGAGGTGCCTCTTTCGCCCCCTCCCCCCCCTCATGGGAGAACTGCACGTGTAACCTTGCATGCAATAAAAGCTTCAGAACCTGCCCTATTTGTTGTACGTTTTGCATTTTTCTGTGTACTTCGGTTGAATTACTTTTTTATTTTGAAAATTGTGCCTATTTTAATTCATCTCTAATTTTAGATAAATTTTATTATGGGCGGGGTTTTTTACTTTTTTAAATTAATAAATTTGGCCTTTTCAAAATTAAAAAAATGTACCACGTGTCGTCTTAATATTGTGCCACGTTTGGCATCAATTCCTTGCATACCAAGGAGACGACGAGGTGTGGTCGTAAATCACAATTGCTTGAAATGGCGTTCAGTCCTTTCATCTTTCATTGTCACGTGGAATTCTGAACCACAGATAAGGATAGATCCCTTGTGCAGAGTATTTTCTTTTTAAAAAATATACTTTTTTTAAAATACAATTAAATTACAAAAAAGCAATGACTAGATTTAAAGTCACCACCATAAAAAGATAAGGCATCAAGTAGAGATCATGTTGGCTAAACAAGACTAGAAAAGAAGTTGATTTGCAAAGGTTTCTCAGAGTTGGGAATAATATTTATTTATAATGAAAAAGAGGCAGAAACATAAATTAGATAAAATAAAAAAGAAAAAGAAAAAGAAAAAGAAAAAGAAAAAGGAAAGTTACATACAAATGGCAAATCCCTTTAGTGACGCAACCAGACACCGTTAATGGAAGGAAGCACACACAAAGTGAGGGACAACACTAATTACTGCTTATGGACAGAACACATAGTAATAATGATAATAATAACAATAATAACAATAATAATAATAATACATAATACATAACAATCACAAAGACAAATCTCTTCAGTTCTTAGTGCCAAAATAATTCATTCAGGACTCATACCATTTTTCCCATTTTCAAAATGGCATCCCCATCACGGCGCCACAATGCTCGATGACTGTTTCAGCTCTGCAGCGTCTTCCCCCGAGCTCTGATGATGCTGATCTTGTTCTTCGATCTCCCGCTCTTCGTCCGTCTGGCTCTCTGTTTCACTCGGCTCCGGTGTTGCACCTCCGTTCTCCTCCTGGCTGAGTGAGACCTCTTTGTTTGTTGCATCCAATGGAGCAGTTTCCTCATTGTCTGTCGCAGACTTCTCTGTTGTTGTTATTGCTTCAGTTGAGGCCTGTTTTTCTTCTTTCTTTCCATTTGTAGATACTGCAGGAGGCTTCTCAACGCTTTTCACCTTGGTTGCTGAGGACTTCCCTGCATTTGTTGCGGCACCAGGTATTGTAGTTTTCTCAGAAGGCAGTCTAGGAAGAGACCTTCGTTTCGGCTTGTCTAGACGGGCAGGAGGAGAGACCCCCTTAGAATTGTTATTATTCAGACCCACATTCTCGTCGAGACTTAAGCGATTTGATCGCACATCACCACCTTCATTACTTAAAATTTCTGCCGGGGTTGGGCTCTTCTTTCGGCCAAGCTTGGGAGACTTGGCTCTTGTAGGTGGTATCTACATCAAAAACCATTTGTCAACATTGTGTTTTGATTTCAGCAATAATAATAGGTAGGGGAATAGGTAGGGGTGGAAGATTCGAAACTCCGACGTCTTGAATTATGCTAATTGAGATATGTTTATGTTATAGGAGCTGAGAATTCAAACCTTTGACCTCTTGAATTATGCTAGTTGAGTTAAAGTTATGCTTCTGTAAGCTATTTGTTACCCTTTGCCTACGACTGGAATCCCTCTTTTTTCTGATCTAGTTCTTTCACCACCGCGAACCCTAGTTATTGGGAGAATCCAAGCATTCTCTTTCAAACCCAAGAAAGAGTTCTTAGAGATCTTTTTTTCCTTTTGGAAGATATAGGAGAAAAACAATCAACCTATTGATATTGGAAGAGCAAAAAGATTCTTCCAACTTATCATTTTTGGGTAAGTGAAATTCATAGGTATAAGAATAGGAAGAAAGACTTACTAAATAAATCGATGGTAGAAATTGGGGTTCGAGAATTGATTAAAAAGATCAAAATGGCCAATGGAGCTTCTAAAACACTATTCTACAAGAAAACTTTAGAAATGCCACGAAACTATAATGACGTCATCTAAGACTGTCACGCCAAGAACCTCGGACACATGATATGGAGGGTGATTGACAGCTATCGGCTAGCATGCAAAAGACCTACAGTGTCGACACTATAGTATATATTTTATAAAAGGACAGCGGTAAATTAAGCAAGTGTCCTCAAGAGAGCCATGATTACGATCCAGACTAAGCAACAAAATTACGAGAAATTGTCTCCACAAGTTCATGAGAGAATCAATAAATTTTGAAACCGATATTAATAAATTCCAAACTCAATCTCGTTTTCAGATGCAACATGTTACCTTTTTCAACTCTACTTTGGGAGGAGGTGGTTCCTGATAAAAGCTCGGCATGGGAGTTGCTTTGAAGTTCAAACTCTTTCTGAGCATTTTAATCTCAGCTTCTTGAGTTTCCTGTAACAGAAGGACTTTCTCGTAACATGCGTCAAATGTTGAACAAATTAAAGTGACAATAGACACGTTGATACCTTGGATTTTGCCTGTAATGTGTTCTTTTCTACTTCCTTAGCTTGTATCTTTTCCTCCAGTTTCGAATAGAACTGTCCCGAGTCATATATAAAAATAAAAATTTGAACACAGAAATTGTTGAAGACGACCGGTAAAATACAAAAGGGAGTGCAAGGAAATGAATACAAAAACAGACCTCTTTTCTTTTCTCAGCACGCTCATTGCATCTAAAACTAAAACCGTAGTTAGGAAGTCTCCCAACCCTATTTGGTTTTTCATCCCCTGCTCTTGGACTTCTATAAACAATTCAAGGATAAACTCTCGGATCTAACAAAGAACAAGAAGCTAAATAACGTGAAGCAATGCCTAAAAATATTAGCACATTAATTATCTCAGGAAAATCTATCTAATGGTAAATAAGAAACTCTCGGATCTAACAAAGAACAAGAAGCTAAATAACGTGAAGCAATGCCTAAAAATATTAGCACATTAATTATCTCAGGAAAATCTATCTAATGGTAAATAAGAAACTAAGGATACAAAGAAGATTCTGATTCTTCTTCTGATTTACTAGGATGACCTTTCTTCGAAGTTTTCAGGTAAATACTCTCCCTGCACAGAATCGGTCACAACTTAGTGTTCTTTGGAATCCAAGAAACTCTTTCCATACATAGTGTATGCAAAAATAGATCTCAAATTAGATACAAAACGAAAATATTCTAACCAACCAAGAAGAGATAATAAAATCATAAAAGCAAGCAGAACATACATGGAGCCTTCACCATCAGACTTATCAGCTTGCTGCTTGAAACAGATGGAAAGAATATGAGAAGGGAATCATTAAGCAGAATAAGAAATAATAAAAATTCAAAGGGAAGGGGGGGG